CTGGTTGATCTCTCTCCTTAGAAAGTGCTTCCCACCCCTCCACCATTTTCTCATCACAGCCCAACAAATGTGGGTGTGAGCGTGGGCAATGCACACAGTGCACACACGCATGCTGCTGGCTCCTGCTCCAAGTCCTGTCAGGCTCTGCCGCCTCCTCTGCAGGAGGACCCCGCAACATCCACACACTCACAGACCCGGATGTGCGCTGTGCTCCAGCGCCCTATCTCCCTGTCCCTGCAGCCTGCCTCCCCGGCAGTGGCTCTGTCTCCACCTGAGAGAGGTGAGCTCCTGGAGGACAGGCAGGGTGGTATTTTTCCTCTGTGTCCTCAGCAGGTTGCACAGCATGGCATAYGTTTGGTGCCACATAAACGTTAGCTGGACTGTGCTCCCATAAGGCCTTGCACATCCCTCTATATGGCATGTGAGACCTTGCACTCATCATCACCTCGGTCAACCAAGGGACCACTGGGACCCATCTCWTCATGAAGTCTCACCTTACCCCCTGTCACACACCACTTCTTGCTTGTCCCTGGGGGCTGTGTTCATCCTCTAGGCTGACCCAGTCTCCCTATCCCGTGCCCTGGAGCCCTCTGGAATTTGTTTCCCAAGGTCAGCAGAATTCCCCGCACTCCCAACCTCCTCTCCTCCTGCTGGAATGGAGGCCTGGCTCTGCCCTGGGACACTTCCAGCCCCGCCACCTCTCCTAGGAGGGCCTCGTCCCTAACCCTGCCCTCTCTGAAACTCACCCCCCAGGTCTGCCCCAGCCCCCTGGGTGCCTTCATTCACAGATCCCTGGCTCCCTCCCGGGCGCCCCCTCATCCTCTGGCTCGCTCCTCTGCCTCCTCCTGTAGTCATCCTTGGAGATGCCACAGCGGCCAGGCAAGGAACAAGTTAGAAACCCTGCACTCCGGGACCCAATGGCTGTTCCTCCCACAGGGAAGCTGGGGAAGCATSTGGGGCCGCTCCCCTGTCAAATCGTGGCCAGACAGGGCCATCATTTAGTTTGTGTGGCCTCATCATCAAAAGATCACACCAATAATTTCTAAAAACCAACCAATGATTTGGGGCTTATTAGAATAATTTGATGAATCATTTGCACTTCAACTTTTTAACTGGGTAGGAGAGTCCTAATTCATTCTTGATGTGCGGGGAGCGTAAGAGCGAATGTTTCAGTCTCGTCTTTATATTGATTTGTACAACCTTTCTGGTTGCCAGATACTTTCAATACCACCCCTGCCTCCACCTGAGCCCCCAARTTCATGGTCTTGCCTTGACCTTGGCATTGCCAATAGCCAGAGCCCCCACAGTCTCTTTCACCTCCCACTCTCTGAACATTACATCCCACTTCTGGCCTTCTCCCCGAGCCTGACAATTCCTCAGCCCCCACCCACCCAAGATTCCCAGTGCATGGACACCCCTCCCTGGCTGTTCAGCACCCACTGTCTCCCGCTGCCCAGCTCAGAGGCTGCCGTCCATCTCCTAACTGCTYCCTGCCCCTCCCATCTGGCCTCACCTCCCAGCCGCCTCTTGGCCACACTGCAGCTGCACCCCGAAAGGGCTGGAGGAAACCACAGAATCTCAGAAGGACCTCAGGCCACCAACACACACACCTCATGTCATGCACACACATGAGCGTGTGCCTGGCCCTCTCCCTCACCCTCCACTTCCCTTCCTCCCCTCCTCACACTCAGCTAAAGGCCCTGCTTCCCACTGTGTGAGGGAAAGGAAAGCAACGAGAAGAGCTGTGTCAGTGAGGGCCACTGTCATGGGTGCCCCAGGGCTGCCCGCCCTCCCTCCCCACACCACCCTCCACCCTTGCTCTCTGCAGGTCATCCCTCCTTCCCTCTCTACTGGAACCACCCCGTGAGTGTCACAATGCCTTCCCCTGACACAGAGCAGCCAGCACCAGCCAGCGAGCCATGGACACCCCTGAACACAGTACAGGAGGCTGGAGGGAGGTTAGGAAAGGGAGACCGCAAAGGAGGTGGTGCAGCCCGGAAAGGAACGCCAAAGGTCCTGTGGTAGGAGGGAGTATAGCTGGAGAAGGAAGAAATGTAAAGAGAGGGACAAGGTTGTTGGGAAGTGAGGCCAAAGATAGAGAGGGCAGCTGGCTGAAGATGCTAGAGACGTTGAGATTTCCCCTAAAACCTGGGACGCTGCAGCATTTGAAGCTGGAGCTGGCATGATCAGATTTGCATTTTCAAAGAACCCTTGTGATATGCAGGGAGGTGCTGTCCACTGGAGACAGGGACAACTTCGAGGGATGCTGAGGCCCTAAAACAGGAAAGCTGTGGTGATGGATGGGAGGGGCAGTTGGGGGAGATGGCGGGGTGATGAACTCACTGGTACCTCTGAGGACCAGACTCCAGGGACACCCGTGAGTTGGGGCTCGGGAAAGTCAGGTCCTTTTTAACACCCACCAGACTGAGAATGGCAGCCCCGGCCCAGGTACAGGCCTCTGAGGTGAGGCCTGAGCTGCTCGTGACTTCCACAGCCTCTCCATGCACATCTCCTGGGCCCCTCTGTGCCAGGAGCCACCTACCCAGGCACCAGTAGGGCACGCTGGGTCCCGGGAGCAGCTAGGATGGGTGGGGAGCGGTGTGGGCGGTGCCACCCACCAGGATGGAGGTGGGGCCCTGGAGAGAGACGGAGGCGCCACCCTCCAGCCCTCRGTTCCAGAGCTCTGTCCCCAATTTGCTGGGTGCCTTGGGGCACATCAGTGCTGCTGTTCGCCTCCTGCACCCGATTCCTTATAAAGACGCCTGGCACTGAGCTGGTGCTGACGGAAGATTTGTCAGACTGAATTGAAAGAAAATGAAAGTGCTTTGCAAAGTGCTTTTCAGCTACGCTGATTTGTAATTTCAACAATCAGGGGAATTTTTTATCTTCTTAACAGCTGGTATCTTCTCCTGGGGGGCGGGGGACTAGATGCGGAGATGGAGGGAATAGGTGCTGGGGGTGGCCAGGCCTCCTGTCCATGCCCAGATGCCAAGGGCAGAGGGCTGCAGCAGGGGGTGAGCAGTTGTGCCAGAGGATGGACTGCCCCAAATACTTACACAAGACATCTGCCCCTGGGGTCCATTTTGACCCCACAAAGCTTCAGTACRGTGACTGGAAGTCCCAGCATGCTCTGGGGAACTCTTTTTCTTGAAGTCAGAAAAGAAGGTGAATTTGGTACGGGGACAGCCCATGTGTGAATGGGGTCCAGGAGGTCTTCTCTGTAATAGGTAGCACATACTAAGAACCAGAAAGGCCTGAAATGCTGCTCTTCCTGTCTGAAACATGACACGCCTGAACACCGCGTTTTAAAGTACAGGCTAAGTGTCCCCTACCCAAGACACTCAGCCCCCGAGGTGTTTTGGATTTCAGACTTCTTCAGATTTGGGGATATTGGCATATACATAATGAGATCCCTCTGGGTGTCATCTGCACCACGCACATGTAACCTGGAGGTAACTGTGTACATAAGATGCTTYCTGTGGCCAGTGCTTTGGCCTTGACCCCTCACAGGAGGTCAGGTGTGGAGTGCCACTCAGGGTGTCATGTGGGTATTCCAAAAGTTTTGGATTTGGGAGTCTTTGGGATTTGGATTAGGAAGGTCCGAGCTGTATGGATTCGATGTACAGGGCTAGATACCACCGTCTGAAAATTCTTGGATGCGTGGCACATGATAAAACCTGCACCCACCTAGTCAGATATGGAATCTCAGGAATCTAAGAGAGTGAACCGCTGACGGCTTCTGAGGACTGTACTCATTAGGTAACACTGGCTCCTGTCATAGGAGACCCTCCTCAGTGGTTGAACAGTTAAAGTTTGTTGCTCTCTCACACCTGTGTCCCCAGGACTGGATAAATGCCCCAGGCATGGTTCCGAGCCCCGTGTGTACCTTCAGACAAGAAAACAGTCAGGTCCAGGAAGCTGGGCTTGACCAGACAGTTGGACCACTGAGCCTGCATCTGGCCCTGGCTATCCACCCCAGCACGGGTCCGTTCTTTTCACATTCAGAGGACATTAACAGGCATTAGTGGCCCCCGCTGATGCTGAGAGACCACACGCATGCAGCAGACCAAAGCTCCTGCTGTCCGGAAGCTGACACTCTGGTGATTATAAATTGGATTCTATTCATTGATTCGTATGAGGGTTGCTCCAATGGTTTGCTGATTCACTCAGTGAACCCTGATGAAAGCCCGCTGGGGCCTTGCCTTGGAGTTTGGCCCTGGGCAGGTTCTCAACTGCTCAGCAATCACCATGGAACTATTTAGAGTCCAAAGACCTTTGTTTGGACCCTGATTGCAGCTTCTTCTGGACACAAGTACTTATTCAGATCAGGGAGCGTCCCTGAGCCTCAACCTTTACATCTGGAAAATGGAGTGGCAACATTCCTCTTTAGAGGCCTCTGGCAGAGCCAAAATGAGCTGTAGTTTAAGAAGGTGAGGGGAGCCCAGCCCCCAGTGGGGCCTCAACCCCTGGAAGCCTCAGAGCTGCTGGGGCCCACGGTGAATTTCACATAATTACAGATGGGAATGTGCTCGAAGCTCCAGGGAAGGGCCAAGGGAATGTCTCCACATCACTCTGGGCTCTGCCTTCTTTGGAGAGCTGTCTGCGTGCGGCCTTCTCACATACAAAATGCAGGCTGACTCCCCGCCGAACCGGGACATCGAGTCAGGCCACTAAGCAACCAGCAGCATCCCCAGCACAGTCCCCAGCCCAGAATCAAGCCCCCCACCACTGCCAAGCTCCAGCTAATCCTCAGAAGCTGCATCGCAGGGACCAGGGATGGAAGGCAGGGTTTTGAAGTTTAGCTTTAGATCCTCTCCGCAGAGCTGCGGGTGGGTGTGTTTTGATCCACCAGGCCGATGTCCAAAAAGACAAAGCAGCGCGATACCTTCCTTGTGGGGAGGGGGAGGCTTGGGTGAGCTTCAGAAGAGCAAGAAGTCGGAAGGGGCAGGGGCTGAGCCCRCACACTCCGTTCTCATGCGCTCCTTCCCCTTGCTTTGCAGGGAACTTCAAAGGCCTGTGCAAGCAGATCGATCACTTCCCAGAGGATGCAGATTACGAAGCTGACACAGCAGAATATTTCCTCCGTGAGTCACACAATTTTTCAATCTCCCTCCAGGTGGTGGTCCTGTGCTTTGAGCCCTCAGAGAGCCAAAGGTCTATCTAGAAGCCCTGGTTACAGCAGAAAGCAAAAAAAAAAAAAAAAAAAAAAAGATCTGCACCTGGCTCCTTTCCAGCTTTTAGGAGGGCAAAGCTTTGTGCATGCTGTTCCCTGTGCCCACAACACCCTTCCCTCCCCTTCTTTGTCTGGCAAACTCCTACTCAATAATCTCCAGGTCTCAAGGGAAACACCACCTTCACTAGGAAGTTCCCCTGGGCCTCTCCCCAGGGGTTCCCAGAGCAAGCACTTTATCAAGCTGTAGGTTCCTTTATGTGAGTAACAAGCCCCCAGTTCCGCAGGAGGAGGGACCCCCCCTTCTTGTCCACCCTTATAGTCTCAGCCCAGTGCAATGCGCACATTAAGAATTCAGTAAATATTTCTTGCATAATTGAATGCGGAAATCAGACCGTGCCAGATTGGAACATCTACCAAAAAAAAAAAAAAAGCAAAAGAGAGACATTTTTTTTCTTCCCCCGCAAGTCAAATCAAAGTTAAATCCTGATGTAACAGCTGTGATCTTAAATCCACCTGAGACATATTATCAAGAGAAAGCATTTTGAGGCCCCAAGGGGCCTCCAAAGCTTCAAGCATCAGCTAAAACTAACAAGGCTGCCAACTCCCCGAGAAAGGGATTTCCCAGAGAGGAGCTGAGGGTCCTTGAGACCTGGGACGGCAGAGCCAGAGGCTCTCACACCAGCTCTGAGGTTTGGTGTCCTCCCCCGGAGTGACCTGCCTCTGCCTCCCAGGCCTGGCCTCCTCCCCTCCCCCACAGCAGAGTGGTGACCTTCCCCCTAGGATCCCTTTTATGAAAAATGCAGGAAGCATTTGATAATGTGGATCGGCCCTGTCTCTTTCAATAATGACTCCTTGCATCAAGCCCAGCTCACAGGTGAGCCTGGAATCGGGTTTCATTGGAACACTGTCAGCCAGGAAGCTGGGGAGAGGGAGGAAGGGAACACCCGGAGATTTATGGATTTTATTTTTTTAAAGGGGAAAAAGAAAACCTCATACCACACTCGCCACTTCCTTTTCTGAATTCCCTCAAGACRGTATTCTTAAATGGAAGTCTCAAAAGGGCCACTTGGTCATTGTTACCTGTTACACCTCTGGAGCTCTTGCCAAGCCTGATCTTAGCAGAGGAGCCCAGGGGGTGTAGTAAATGTGGTTTGAGCACCTGCTGTATGCCAGACCCAGTGCTCAGTGATGAGGAGATGGAGATGGACAAAAAAAGATAGTCCCTGGCCCAGGAAGAGCAGAACCAACAGGGAGGATCCTCAGAAACAGCTCGACTAGGAGACACAGCCTGGCAAAGATGTAGAGGTGACCCAGGGCCAGAGCCACAGTGCTGGACCCAGCCTCATCTGGTGGAGCACAGTACCCTGTGACACTCTATTCACCAGGAAGTACCTTGAGGTAGGAAATTTGTCTCATTCATTACAGCACCTAGAACCAACCCTGGAATCTAGTAGGTGCTCAATAATTGCTTTTAATTAAAAGAAAAATAAAGATACAGGAGTCTTCCATAGCAATTCCGGCCAGCTCTATGCCTCAGTTTCCTTAGTGCTAAAGAGAGAAGAGCTTCGAGTTTGGTTTATCTGGGTTTATAGACTGCACTCTCATTAGCCACGTGGGATCCCCAAGGTCCCATTGGACTTAGCCCAACAATACTTCTTGAGCACTTATAACAGGGGTCAGCATACTTTTTTTGTAAAGGACCACACAGCAAACATGTTTGACTTTCCAAGTCACACAGTCACCTCCCCATCACTCAATCACTCAGCTCTGGCAAAAGCAGCCATAGGCAACACAGAAGCAAATGAGCATGGCGTGTTCCAGCTGAACTTTATTTACAACGATGGGCAGCAACCTGTGTTTGACAGTTTGCTGACACCTGATCTATAATATGCTGGTGTTGGACTAGATGACAAAAATGATTTTTTTGAGGACGGGTATCAGAGATTGAATCCAGGGGCACTTAACCACTAAGCTGCATCCCCAGCCCTTTTTATTTTTTATTCTAAGACAGGATCTTGCCAAGTTGCTTAGGATTTCGCTAAATTGCTGAGGCTGACTTTGAACTTTCAATCCTCCTGATCCTCCTGCCTCAGCCTCCCAAATCGCTGGGATTATAGGCATGCACCACCGCGCCCGGCAACAATGATTTTTTAAAGCCAAAAGTTCCTATCATTCTCCAAAATTCTAACCTGATTGGCAAGAAAAGAGGGAAGAATGGCATCATTTTTCCAGAACCCCAATCCCGCTGTTTATGCAGACCCTATCCGACCCCCCACTTTGATTTGGAAGCCCGTCTGTGGGCTTCCCCTGCAAGTGACTCCATTCCACATTTGGCTGCAGTATTGCTTGCTCCAGTTCATCACCCCCTAAGACTCTGAGCACAGAGCCCAGCAAGGAACTGGGGCCCAATAAAGCACTTTGTTGCTGAGCAAGGAAGTAAATGTTTGAGTGAAGAAGTAAGTCAAGGTCAAATGCCATGCAGGTAACAGGGGCTTCCAGAGGAAGAAGCAGATGGCCCAGAGGTGGGTGGGGTTTGGCAAAGGAGGTGGGTGGGACTGCTCCTAGAGGTGGGCGGAGCCTGAGTCAGCCCTGTGTTCAGGTGTGTCAAACCCAGGGGCACAGTACACCTGCCCTGCCGGAGGCCGTGAAAGGGACAGAAGCAGCCACTGCCCCTGAGCCATAACCTTCTGGAAACAGATCCTTGGATCTAATTATGTTTCACACAGGAATTAGAGGGAGTCTGCCCCCCAGCTCTCTCGGAAGAGGTCTCTCTAAAAGGGCTCTCTAAGAAGATGTCACCAGAGCTGAGAGTTAGACCCCAAAAGATTCACTCATTTATTCATCCACTCACAAGGTATTCAGCAAGCAGTTACTATGTGCTGACACCATTGTCAGTACTGGGGATCCCAGGGTAAACCAAAAAAGCAAGCTGGTTCCTCCCGGAATGTTGCATTCCCAAGGCGGAGACAGAGTAGGYGAAGTGCAGGCACAGCTCCCCCAAGGTGGCTCACCTAGACAAGGCGGCCAAGACTGCTTCCCTGAATAAAGAAAGAGGGCGAGGTAAAAGGACTTTGGGGAAGGAGTGCTGGAGGAAGGCAGGGGCAGAGGCCTTAGAGAGGAGCCATGCACCCCATCTGCGGCCAGAGAGGAGCCAGGCTGATCAGAGCACAGCCCAGGCACTCGAGGGCCTGGGGACAAAATCAGACCCCCTTCTAGGTGTTGATGTAGCAAGTGCAGCCTGGCCGCCCTGGAGGAGGAGGTGATAAGAGCAACTGGACCCTCAGGGAGGCTGGGGTGCTGTTCAGTGGTCCRAGCAAGAGGCAAAGGTGGCGTGGACCAGACGCTGGCCATGGCAATGGTGAGCCCAGGCAAAGCTGGCGGGAGCAGGGATGGCCACCAGTCAGGATAGGTGGTAGGCAAGGAACTRCTGGCAGAGGGCAGTGCACCGGGTTCCAGAGGACAGTAGAGGACTGGGAGGAGGACAGGGGCCAGGAAGGCAGGGACCCAGTACAGTGGAAAGGATTTCAACCGAGAGACCCTGTCTGCCCACAGCTCCACCTTTGACCTTCCGTGAGCAGCCTGCCTCTGACTCAGAGGGGCTGCAGACTGGGGGTGGGCTCAGAAAGGCCGCTAGAGTTCCTGCTGCTACCAAGGTCAGGGATGACCTTCAGTGTGATCTGCGAAAATTCCAACCCCCGTGCCCTGGGGGCCATCACCCTCTGAAATGGCCCAAGGCCTGAGGTGTGCAGGCATGGGACATTAGGCCTTGCCAAATGTGCTGTGGCTCCTAGGACCCCTTGGCTCCTTGGGGCCCAGCGTCCTGGTGCTGGAGAGGGAGAGGGAAGTCTAAGTAGAGTGAGCCCAGCCCTGAGCTGCTGCCCCTGCACCTCTCTGAACCTAGTCTCCCTGACTGGAAAAAGTGGGACATCACCCACCAAACAGGATCTGCATACCCGCTCCTCCCGCCCCTGCCCACTGTGTCTGACCTCAAGTTTGAAAGTCCACTAGAAGCAGAATATATATAGTTTTAAAAACAAAATTGTGATTTTCCCAGGAATTCCCAGGCCTATGTTCTTTCATTCACCCGCCACATGCTCACTGATCCCGCACCATGCATCAGGCACTGTTCTAGATGCCCAGGATTGAGGAGCCACAAAGTAGATCAAGTACACACTCAAATGCAAGGAGATAGAAAATAAATAAATCAGCAAACATAAAACCTCTCAGGTGGTGCTAAATGCTCTGGTGAGATGGAGCAGGGGCAGAGAGGGCCGGTGGACGCTGACGTTTGTACGTAGGGCAGCCAGAGAGAAATCTCAAAAGACATGACATTCATTCCCCCCAAGATGTTGAATTCTGTGGCTGTGCACAAAGGTGTGGGTTTCAGGATAGGGAGGAGCCATCAGGCCACCTTCTGTCTCCCCAAAGAGCCGGGTTCAGTCCGTGCACAGCTTCCGAGGGGAGTCGGGCCCATTTCCCACGTTCCCCAATGTCTTCTCCTCCCAGAGAAGCAGAGGTGTAACATGCCTGTGGCCCCCGTTGCTGGCCTCTGGGGTGGTCCCAAGCTCTGTTAAAAGAAAAAAAAAATGGACAAAACAAATGGATCAGGCCAAGTCAGGCCAGGAGTGCAGACCCAGGGCCCTTCAACTTCTGATGAAGTCTGGCGTCTGTGAGGGGCACAGCCTCTTCCTGCCCTAGCACTTTCGTCATGGAGTGGCCTCCTGCATGTCAGGCCCTCTTCTGGCTGAGGACAATAACAAAGCCTGTCCTCCAGACATGTCAGTCTACAACGAATGAAATGACCAAGTTCATCATATAGTATGTTAGACTGTGAGGAGTGACCGTCGAGAGTCAGGCAGGAGAGGTGTGCAGAATTCTGCATGGAAGTGGGGTCGAGAAAGTTTGAGCAAA